ACAAAGACAAAGATCACCCGTGTAGCCTAAAATAGACTGGGCAAGTGCTGTCATAGCGAGTTTCACCTTCGAAGGTCGGAACGGCACACGAGGGTGTGAGTGGCCAGCACCACGCTCGGTCGCCTTTGTCTCACCAAGTGATGTTTACACACCGCACCAGGTACTCATTTTAGGCTGAGTCGACCTAGGGGATGAAGCCAAGGACCGGTTCAGATAATCGTTCCTTGGTGCTGGCGGTGAGCAGGAATCGAACTCGGGTCGTTGGGTTCGTAGCGCAGCGCGCTAACGACTACACTACCACTCCCTACCAATCTCACGCACGTATACACTCACACGTGTACACTCACACACGCGTGTACACTCACACACGTGTACACTCACGTGTACACTCACACACGCGTGTACACTCACGAGAAAAGGAATCCCTGTCACCCCCACCCACCCCCCACGCTAATCCCTTCACCCCTCCCCCATCCCCTTGCACAACCCAATTCATTGTCCACGCGGCCAGGGCGTACTGGGGTGTACACATATCTGGGGGTGTGTGTCTGTGTGTGTGTCTGTGTGTGTCTGTGTGTGTCTGTGTGTGTGCGTGGGTCACCTAAGCCTGACGTTAGTAGCTGGGGCGGAGTGTGAATATCAGTTTCATTTACTAGGTATAACCCTGTGAGCCATGCGGCTCTTGACTCGGGTGCAAACATGAACCAGAAACATTTTAAAGTGACTACACGCAACAGAAAAATCCTGGGAAAAAACAGCAAAGTCTTCCTGAAAAAACCCACCGCATTTCAACGCTGCGTGCAAAAATCCCGGTGGGATGCAAGTCAAACAATAACAACCATAAGACGATGTAGATTAAAGTTATCAGGCTAACTCTGTACTACAACAAACAAACATGGCTAAACCAAAACGTTTTCAAAATCACCAAAATAAAGCCATAAAAACAATGTAACAGTGATCATCAGCGCTGGGGAGACAAAGGCGGCCGGGCGTGGTTCTGGCCACCCACTCCCTGTGCCATGCCGGCCTTCATAGGTGGTGCGACTCGCTAACAGCACTTGCCCCGAAAGGCTACGCGGGGATCTTTTGTCTCTACGTCGCTATATCGGGTTCCACGCGGGTCCCCTAATCCCCTGATTAATGGCCACGTGACCCGGGCTATTTGCATTTTTCCCAAACAGTTGTTAAGTAGCGGAGACTCCCGCTGTGATTCCCCAACCCCCCCTTACCTCCCCCCCTCTCTCACCACTCTCCTCCCTCCCCACCACTCCCACCCATTCGTTATCATAGACATCAACAATAAAAAAATAATGAATGAATTATCCTTTATCAATGTTAACCTTCATAGCGCTGCGTGGTTGCGGCCCTTAATTACCCAGAATGCTCTCGCTCACGTGCTGCTGTGGAGGATGTCGGGCAGTTGTGAGTGATTGGCATACAGAACGTAAGACGGCTTCATTAATGAATGATCATCGAGAATCGATGAGGAGGGCGCTCGGTGAGCGAGCTCAACGTAGGGCACGGAACTTTTAAATTGTTTGAGCTAACGGCCCATGATGACGCTGCTTCCGCGGCCGTCTGGAACGCTCTTCATTTCGATATTAGGAAGCCACTGCAGGTACGCATTTTTACAATCGTCATCATCATCATCTAGATTGACGAATCTTGATTTGAAGCTTTCGTGACTGCAGGAATCCATACTCTTTGGTTCTTTCGGTAAAGTCACGTGGGTAGAATAAATAATAAAAGATCACTACGCTTCGATCGCAGCACAAGCAATCGTCAACAGGTGGGAGAACCATCTGATGACGATTGCTTGAACTGTTTCTCGTTTGCATTTCTCTTTTGTGTTATTTCTCGTTCGTATTGTTTCTCGTTTGTATTGTTTCTCGTTCGTATTGTTTCTCATTTACATTGTTTCTCGTTTGTCTTGATTTTCGTTTCTATTGTTTATCGTTTGTATTGTTTCTCGTTTCTATTGTTTCTCCTTCTGTATTGCTTCTAGTTTCTATTGTTTTCATTTGTATTGTTTCTCATTTGCCATGTTTCTCGTTCATATTGTATTTTGTTCATCATTTATATTGTTTCTCGTGTGTATTGTTTCTCGTTTGTATTGTTTATCCTTTGTATTAATTTTCGTTTGTATTACATATCGTTTGCATTGTTTATGCTTTATTTCGTCTCATTTCTATTGTTTATCGTTTGTATTTTTTAAATTCGTTGTATTGTTTCGCGTTTGTCTGTATTGCTTGTATAGTTGTACTCATTCTAGTAAATGTTATTTAACGAAAAAATCTCAAACAGTACACAATCGATTATCGCACCCCAACATTCGATTCATGTATAATACTCAGTTTTAATTGATTAATCAATTAGCGGCACTGAATCCTCTCCCTACCCTCCATCACCCCCCCCCCCCATTCCACCGAATCGCCCCCGGGGCCCCCCGCGCATTCCACACCCCCCCCCCTCGTTTGAATTCCTCAGCGACGGCGGTGCCCCTGGGCCACAGCGGAGGCACTGGCGATGGTGGTGATGGTGGTGATGGTGGTGATGGTGATGATGGTGGTGGTGATGGTGATGATGGTGTTGATGCTGATGGTGATGATGGTGGTGATGGTGGTGATGGTGATGGTGGTGGTGATGGTGATGGTGGTGATGGTGGTGGTGATGGTGATGGTGGTGATGATGGTGATGGTGGTGGTGATGATGGTGGTGATGATGGTGATGATGATGGTGTTGATGATGATGGTGGTGGTGATGGTGATGGTGGTGGTGATGGTGATGGTGGTGATGGTGATGGTGGTGTTGATGATGATGGTGGTGGTGATGATGGTGATGATGGTGTTGATGGTGATGGTGGTGGTGATGGTGGTGGTGATGGTGGTGATGGTGGTGATGATGGTGATGGTGGTGATGGTGATGGTGGTGATGGTGGTGGTGATGGTGGTGATGGTGATGATGGTGATGATGGTGGTGGTGGTGATGATAGTGATGGTGGTGATGGTGGTGATGGTGATGGTGGTGGTGATGGTGGTGATGGTGGTGATGATGGTGATGGTGGTGATGGTGGTGGTGGTGATGGTGGTGGTGGTGGTGATGGTGGTGATGGTGGTGGTGATGATGGTGGTGATGGTGGTGGTGATGGTGATGATGATGGTGGTGATGGTGATGATGGTGGTGGTGGTGTTGATGGTGGTGATGGTGATGATGGTGATGATGGTGGTGATGGTGATGGTGGTGATGGTGATGATGATGGTGGTGATGGTGATGATGGTGGTGATGGTGGTGGTGATGATGGTGATGATGGTGATGATGGTGATGATGGTGGTGATGGTGATGATGGTGGTGATGGTGGTGATGGTGGTGATGGTGATGGTGGTGATGGTGGCGATGGTGGTGGTGATGGTGATGATGGTGGTGATGGTGATGATGGTGATGGTGGTGATGGTGATGGTGGTGATGGTGGTGATGGTGATGATGGTGGTGATTGTTCTGGTGTTGATTGCGATGGTGGCGAGGGTGGCGATGGTGGTGATGGTGGTGATTGTTGTGGTGGTGGTGATTGCGATGGTGGTGATGGTTGTGATTATTGTTGTGATGGTCGTAATTTTTGCGATGGTGGTGGCTGTGATGGTGGTAATTGTTGTGGTCGTGGCTGTGATGGAGGTAAAAAATAATAATTTTGGTACTGGCAAAGGAGGTCCCATGACGTGATGGAGGTAATTGTTGTGGTGGTGGCTGTGATGGGGTTAATTGTTGTGATGCTGGTGATGATGATGGTTGTAATTATCGTTGTGATGGTGGCAGTGGCGATAGTGGTGGCTGGAGTGGTGTAATTTGGTGGTGCTGATACTGATGACGTTACTGATTGTATTTGGAGTGGGAGGTTGTAAGTATGTGTGTGCATGTATGTTGAATTTCTTTCGCACCGTACGTAGGCAACCGTGCTAATCCGAGGTGCGGGGTTTTGAGGTGGACGGAGGTGGTTGGTGGTGGTGGCGGTGGTGGTGGCCGGTTGTTGGTGTTACTGTTGTTGGTGTTGTTGGTGTTAGTGTTGTTGTTGTTGGTGTTGTTGTGGTGGTGGTGTTGTTGGTGTTGTTGATGTTGGTGCTGGTGTTGTTGGTGTTGTAAGTGTTATTGGTGTTGTTAGTGTTGTTGGTGTTGTTGTTGGTGTTAGTGTTGTTGGTGTTGTTGTTGATGTTGAGAGCGAGAGACAGAGAGAGCGAGAGACAGAGAGAGCGAGAGACAGAGAGAGCGAGAGACAGAGAGAGACAGAGAGAGCGAGAGACAGAGAGAGCAAGAGACAGAGAGAGCGAAAGACAGAGAGAGCGAGAGACAGAGAGTGAGAGACAGAGAGAGCGAGAGACAGAGAGAGCGAGAGACAGAGAGAGCGAGAGACAGAGAGAGCGAGAGACAGATAGAGCGAGAGACAGAGACAGAGCGAGAGACAGAGAGAGCGAGAGACAGAGATAGCGAGAGACAGAGAGAGCGAGAGACAGAGAGTGCGAGAGACAGAGAGAGCGAGAGACAGAGAGAGCGAGAGACAGAGAGAGTGATCTGGACGGGCAGGTGAGCTGTCTGTGAGTTCCAGATGTATGGCGATGCGTGGTGCTCGCCGGGTTCGTAGCGTAGCACGCTAACCACCACTACACGATCACTCCACAAATACAAACATACCCCACGTATAGCCGTGGAGGTTCGGAGCAGCACCTATGGAGGGCCGGCACGGTACACGAGGGGGTTGGTGGCCATCACCACGCCCGGTCGCCTTTGTCTTCCCAGTGACGATGTTACACATCGCACCAGCTACTCATTTGAGGCTGAGACACACACACACGTGCGAGACACCGTAAGAACACTTTCCAAAGTATTTCAATATAAAGATCACGCTTTCTATCCAATCAGTTTATATATATACCACAACCAATAGGCCTTACAAAACACAAATATCAAAGTGTATGAGCACAGGGTGGTTGGGGGGACGTTGTTGTTTGTAGCGGTGGAGTGGAGCGCGTCGCGGCGCGGGAGGCCTCCGCCCCTGGGCCCCTCGCGAGTGGCCCCGCGAATGGCCCGGAGAGTGCCTCTCGCGACTCCGATGGCTCTTCGCGCGACGCGGGCGACGATGATTGATGGCGGATGTCACCGCCGCCGCCGCCGCCGCCGCTCGCGAGAACGTAAACGGCGGAGATGGACGTGCTGAGAGGGTACAGCCCGATCGTGGCCACGCTCCTTTCACGCTCTGTCGTCACTTCACGCTCTGTCGATGCGTCGTCGCTATGTCGGTGCGTCGTCGCTATGTCGATGCGTCGTCACTTCACGCTCTGTCGATGCGTCGTTGCTATGTCGATGCGTCGTCGCTATGTCGATGCGTCGTCACTTCACGCTCTGTCGATGCGTCGTCGCTCTGTCGATGCGTCGTCACTTCACGCTCTGTCGATGCGTCGTCGCTCTGTCGATGCGTCGTCGCTTCGCGCTCCACTTCACGCTCCGTGGATGCGTCGCCGAACGTCGACCAGCGCACACGCGTCGAGGAGCGTCAATAAAGGCTGTATCCACGATGCTTGCGAGGTGTGGAGATGCGTCTTCAGTGGTGACAGTTCGGCGGTCACGTGGCGACAGAAGGTCCACGTGCAGCAGGGCGGTCACGTGGCGACAGAAGGTCCACGTGCAGCAGGGCGACCACGTGGCGACAGAAGGTCCACGTGCAGCAGGGCGGTCACGTGGCGACAGAAGGTCCACGTGCAGCAGGGCGGTCACGTGGCGACAGAAGGTCCACGTGCAGCAGGGCGGTCACGTGGCGACAGAAGGTCCACGTGCAGCAGGGCGGTCACGTGGCGACAGAAGGTCCACGTGCAGCAGGGCGGTCACGTGGCGACAGAAGGTCCACGTGCAGCAGGGCGACCACGTGGCGTCTCCCCGCGTTGCGTGGTTACTGACGGCGTCCATCCCGGGCGGACGCTGACAGTCGACGCGGTCGACTTCAGTGCCGGCACCGCGTGGCGAATGTTCAACGGGGGTCGTACGCCGCTCGTGACGGTGGCCGGTTCAGATAATCGTCAGCGTCGTTGTTGGTGGCCGCGAGCGGGAATCGAACTCGGGGATCATCGGGGTTCGTAGGGCGGCTCGCTGGCCGCGACAGTCACCGCTCCTCCCCACAACGCGACGCGGGGACTCACCACACCCCACTGAAAGTCGCCCCCCGCATTCTCTCCTCTCTCTCTCTCGGAGAGCAGAGGCCTCCCTTGATTAGCCGCGCATTTGGGTCAAAGTAACCCCCCCCCATCCCCTATACGCCAGCCCCCCGTTTAATTCTCATCAACGCAAACAGCCCCCCAGCTGAGCGCGAGACCCCGGGTCCACATCACTCAGCCACGTGGTGCTGTGGCCGACACCAAGCAGAGACAAAGATCCCCCGTATAGCCGTCCACAGGCTATTGGGGCAAGTGCTGTTAGCGAGTATCACCGTTGATGTTAAGGCCGGCAGGGCACAGGAGGGGGTGGGTGGCCAGCACCACGCCCGGTCGCCTTTGTCTCCCGAGTGGCGATGTTTACTACACCGCACCAGTCACTCATTTGAGGCCGAGTCGACCTAGGGGAGGTCCAGGACCGGTTCAGATGTTCGCCACTGTTATTGTTCGTGAGCGGGAGTGCAACTCGGGTCGCCGGGTCCGTAGCGCAGCGCGCTAACCGTTGCTCCACCGCTCCCCACGGTACGCAGGTGACTGAGGTGCCCTGACAGCGCTGACAATGACGTGGCGTGTGGGTTGTGGAGAGGGCTGGGGTGGGAAGGGGGGTCGAGGGAATGGGGCGGGCGGGGGGCTACAGGGGGCATGTGGGGGATTGGGGGGGCTATCAGCTGCTGGACTCTTTTGTGAATAAAACAAACTTAAAGAGCGAAAATTAAAACCAAATAAAAACTCGCCACCTTAGCTCTGCCTCATTCGCTACCTATTCTGAAATCACCGCAGCTGCAAGGACGCAGGTCCCAGACAACGCCACTCGGCCACGCAACACACGAAGGGCGCTGTGAAGGTTCGCAAGGGACTAAAGTCGTCCTCTCGCGAGACTAAAGTCGTCCTCTCGCGAGACTAAAGTCGTCCTCACGCGAGACTAAAGTCGTCCTCTCGCGAGACTAAAGTCGTCCTCTCGCGCGGACGATTCCCTTGGAGGCGGCGCGAGAGGCGATCCTGCAGCGCCACTCGGCGATCACCATCGTGCAATTTGTTGCTTCGAGATTCCCACGCCCCGAGTTTGATCCGTTTCGGCCTCGTCTTTCTCCAGCAGCAGCAGCAGCGAGGGTTGGTGGAACACCGCACACACACAGATGTTGTTGTAGAACTCCCTTCTCTGGCTGCCTCTCTGCTTCCTAACGCCCCTGAGTCGTCCTCTCTCTCTCCGAGTCGTCCTCTCTCTCTGAGTTGCCCTCTCACTCCGAGTCGTCCTCTCTCTCTGAGTCGTCCTCTCTCTCTCTCTCTGAGTCGCCCTCTCACTCCGAGTCGTTCTCTCTCTCTGAGTCGTCCTCTCTCTCTCTGAGTCGCCCTCTCACTCCGAGTCGTCCTCTCTCTCTCTGTGTCGCCTTCTCTCTCTGAGTCGTCCTCTCTCTCTGAGTCGCCCTCTCTCTCTGAGTCGTCCTCTCTCTCTCTCTGAGTCGTCCTCTCTCTGAGTCGCCCTCTCTCTCTGAGTTGTCCTCTCTCTCTGAGTCGTCCTCTCTCTCTGAGTCGTCCTCTCTCTCTGAGTCGTCCTCTCTCTCAGAGTCGTCTTCTGTCTCTCTCTGAGTCGTCCTCTCTCTTTATCTCTGAGTCGTCTTCTCTTTATCTATGAGTCGTCCTCAATCTCTTTCTGAGTCGTCCTCTCTCTCTGAGTCGTCCTCTCTCTGTGAGTCGTCCCCTCTCACTCCGAGTCGTCCTCTCTCTCTGAGTCGTCCTCTCTCTCTGAGTCGTCCCCTCTCTCTGAGTCGTCCCCTCTCTCTCTGAGTCGTCCTCTCTCTCTGAGTCGCCCTTTCTCTCTCTGAGTCGTCCTTTCTCTCTGAGTCGTCCTCTCTCTCTGAGTCGTCCACTCTCTCTGAGTCGTCCTCTCTCTCTGAGTCGTCCTCTTTCTCTGAGTCGTCCTCTCTCTCTGAGTCGTCCTCTCTCTCTCTGAGTCGTCCTCTCTCTCTGAGTTGTCCCCTCTCTCTCTGAGTCGTCCTCTCTCTCTGGGTCGCCCTCTCTCTCTGAGTCGTCCTTTCTCTCTGAGTCGTCCTCTCTCTCTGAGTCGTCCACTCTCTCTGAGTCGTCCTCTCTCTCTGAGTCGTCCTCTCTCTTTCTCTGAGTCGTCCTCTCTCTCTGAGTCGTCCTCTCTCTCTCTGAGTCGTCCTCTCTCTCTGAGTCGTCCTCTCTCTCTGAGTCGCCCTCTCTCTCTCTGAGTCGCCCTCTCTCTCCGAGACGTCCTCTCTCTCCGAGTCGTCCTCTCTCTCTTAGTCGCCCTCTCTCTCAGAGTCGTCCTCTCTCTCCTAGTCGTCCTCTCTCTCTGAGTCGTCCACTCTCTCTGAGTCGTCCTCTCTCTCTGAGTCGTCCTCTCTCTTTCTCTGAGTCGTCCTCTCTCTCTGAGTCGTCCTCTTTCTCTGAGTCGTCCTCTCTCTCTGAGTCGCCCTCTCTCTCTGAGTCGCCCTCTCTCTCCGAGACGTCCTCTCTCTCTCCGAGTCGTCCTCTCTCTCTTAGTCGCCCTCTCTCTCAGAGTCGTCCTCTCTCTCTCCTAGTCGTCCTCTCTCTCTGAGTCGTCCTCTCTCTCTGAGTCGTCCTCTCTCTCCTAGTCGTCCTCTCTCTCTGAGTCGTCCTCTCTCTCTGAGTCGTCCTCTCTCTCTCTGAGTCGTCCTCTCTCTCTGAGTCGTCCTCTCTCTCTGAGTCGTCCTCTCTCTCTGAGTCGTCCTCTCTCTCTGAGTCGCCCTCTCTCTGAGTCGCCCTCTCTCTCCGAGACGTCCTCTCTCTCTCCGAGTCGTCCTCTCTCTCTGAGTCGCCCTCTCTCTCTGAGTCGCCCTCTCTCTCCGAGACGTCCTCTCTCTCTCATCGAGTCGTCCTCTCTCTCTCTTAGTCGTCCTCTCTCTCTGAGTCGTCCTCTCTCTCTCTCTCCTAGTCGTCCCCTCTCTCTCTTTCTGAGTCGTCCTCTCTCTTTCTCTGAGTCGTCCTCTCTCTCCGAGTCGTCCTCTCTCTCCGAGTCGTCCTCTCTCTCTCCGAGTCGTCCTCTCTCTCCGAGAGTGATGAGTGAACATTGTGCGACTTTGGCGCAGCGTCACAAGTCGACTTCGTGACATTTACAATCTGAGGATTCTCTCTCCAACACACCGGCGTGCTGAACTAGTAACGAATTGTCATGTTCTGTTTACGTGACAACCCTTACTAATTGGCTGTGTCGGGTGGTGGCGGGTTTAACGACACATTTATATTTACGCGATCTAACCCCAAAAAACTTGAAGTATGGATGACATTGGTCGCGAAAGCATACTACGTGTTAAACCAAAACAATGACAATGATGACATTGATGGTAATAGTAGTGCTGATTGCGACGACGATGATCACGATGGCAATGATGATTATGACGAGGACGCACAGATGGCCTTCATTTGAACGCACCTCCGATGAGCACGGGTAGCTAGTACGGTGCGAAAGAAGTTAAACGTACAAATAAAGCCTCTGACTCATGGGAAACGTTGGTCTTAAAGCGTACGACATGAAACGTAGCGCTGCTGCTGCTGCGGATGATGATCATGATTATCATCATCAGCACACATGGCAATGACAATGCTGACGATTATAAGAATTGCCCGTCACAATTATCACAGTGGCAAATATCGCTCTGATGATGACGAGGACACTCGTAATAATCACGACGACGACGATGACGTTGATGACTGATCCCATCCACTTTATTTGAACTATAAACTAATTTGTTTATTTTACTAGGTAAGGCCCACTCAGCTAAGTAGCTCTTTTTCAGAAGCGACCTGGCCACAAATGATAGCTCAAAGAAGTGGCTTATCATCGTCGTGTGGAAACGTAGAGCAAGCCAGATACTCTGGACACACGATTCTAAATGTGAAGGGGAAAAGCCCGCACGACCCAGAAAAAACATCCACGCGACCACGGGGTGAGAGAGA